TGAGACACAGGTAATCCACACACTTTGTGGTCCAACCATAGATGTTTGAACCAGAGTCAGACCTTGAGCAAGAAGAAGTTATCGAAGAAGTTGTTTAATGTAGATTACAACAGGACGTTTCTGAAGGGTGAGTTATGAGCTTTATTTTACTTTGTTTCTTTAAAATGTTTATGTTTGTACGTCGGGTAAATACGCTGACCGCTGTTTGTGTAACTCTGCTTATAAAAATCTAGATTTAAGTGGCATGCTATTCCCGTTACACGAGTACATTTCACGAGTCTGCAATGTTTTTTTGTTGTCTCCCAGTGATTGAAGCAATGAAAAGTTATTAATTGAAGTTTTACAGTATTCAGTTTATGTTAAAACTGAATACATTAGTTTATGCTGCAGTATAATAACCTGAGTTTAGTTCTGTTTAACAGGACGAAAACCTTGTAGTGATTTTAACTCTGCGTCCTCTGGATTGTCTCAGCAATTTATTCACCAATCAGCAGTAGGTTTTCTGTAATTGTGGAGAAATAAATCATACAGGTTTGGTTTCTCTCACATATGTTCTCAGCACCGTCCCAAGAAACAAAACAGGAAGTAAAGCCAACAGAGAAAGTACTGTTTGTAGAAATAAAGTGTGTTATACTTCCAGCAGTGACCTCGTCTTTAATGGGAAGATATCTGACCTCACTGTGAAACACAATATACTCATATATACATTTATGAAAGAACATCTGAACAACGTTACACTTAAAACACATTGAAAACATGAGGGCAATTCCTAACACCAAATTTTTCAAAATAAAAGTCTGTTTTAATCCATACAGAATTATCTACGTACTCCGACAGCCTCACCTGCGAGGAGTGAATGGAGGACTCGTTCTGGATGACCTCCAGCGTGCGTTGGATCCAGGTATCTCTGTAAGGGTGACCTCTGGGTGGACGGTAGAGGTCAAAGATCACCAGTTTGTCTTTCTGAGCTGCCAGCTGGAGGAAGGCCCGCAGGCTGCACACAGGCTGTTTTCCTGCCCGCAGTCGGTCGTCCGCTCCCAGAGAGCCGGCTGTACCGAACGGGTTGTGCTGGAAGGGACGATCATCGATACCTAATTAATACTGTGACATAACTCGCTGCCCAATATGTTCCTGATGTTGTAACACGGTTGTTGTGATGAGGAAGTCGCCTGTTTCCATTGGTTTAACTGCCACATGTACACACAGCTACTAATGTATTGATAATGATCAATACTTTAACTGTTTATCTGTAATATGAGATCATGTGTGAGCAGGTGAGCAGCTCAACTCGCAGTGCGTCACCACACTTAGGTTCTCACATGTGAAGTCTGGTTGTTTGTCTGATGTTTATGTTTTAACTTGTAAACTGTACAGAAGCAACAAATTACTGCACATGTGATTCACCTCCGTCTCTCTGGGACCGTTTCTACTCGACGCAGCTTCTGATGAGTAAAGTATTTACATGTGAGTCACAATTTGCTCTTTTCCTGTTTAATTTAAAGGCACATTTCACCAATTTTACCCTCCATCTAAGGTCAGTTTGCTCATCGCAGGGAGAACTAATCTTTCGTGCTGCAACTAAAGCTCATTATTGATGTGTTGGATAGTTATTTTCTTTTTAAATGGTGAAGTTGGAGCCTTAAAATAGCTTCTTTTGTCAAAACTCAACATTATAATGTGAACTGAGAAGCTGGAACTAGGGCATGTTTAAACAACTAAAAGATTGATCGACTAATCAATTAACTATTTCTGCTCTACTGCAAGTTGTATAATGTCTTCTGTGTCCCGGAGAGGCAGACCAAAATAAACTACGACAACCACTGCAGTACGTTATATAACTCAATAAGCGTACACAATGTGTGACTCACCGAGAGGAACCAGGCTCCGGCGTTCAGGCTCTCCAGCTCGGCCCAGGTGAACATGGCCGCCGGGGTGTCGGTCCGGTTGGGGAAGACCTCGTGGATGTTGGTGGTTCGTTGCAGCGTGTGGTCATGCATCAGGAAGGGAACCCCGTCAGAGCTACGACCATTAAAACAACAACAGCAGTGACGAGTGCGGCCAATAAGTCAGAGAAAGTTTATAAAAAGCATCCTGGCAGCGCCGGCTGGTCGATCCACCAGTTTGGACCTCGACTGTTGGAGGGATTGATGTGAAATGTAGCACCAATAATTAATCTTCCCCTCAGGATGAATTAGAATAATGATTAATTAACCTTTCATCCAGCATTCAACCTGTCCCACACTTTTTATAAAATACAAAAAGGAATAAACTAATGTTGTTTAAACAGATTGTAGAGCCAAAGGTTCAGTTCTTATATCTTATAGAAAACAATCAGCATGATAACAGTGTTACGCAGTAACAGAGACGGTTCCAAGAATGTGCATCAATCTTAAAAAGGACCATTGTGTACGTACACCCTCGCCTTGACCTCCCGTTCCAAGAGTGTAGGAGAAACTATGGTGGCTACAAAACTCGCCAAATGCCCCGTTTAGAGCCAGTGTTTGTCCACAACAACTGTTATTTTCAGAGGATTTTACACTAATTAAAACTGTGATTATTATATTTAATTTCTGCCAACAGATCCTCCTAAATGTTTCACACTGGACCCTTTAAATGTGTGTTAAACTGCACATCTGCACACCACTTATTCTAACTAATAAACACAATCATATGGAAAAGTTCCTTTTGATTAACAGTTTGTTTGGCTCGTCCTATAGACAACCAGAACAGTATCGATCAATGACAATAAACATATCAGGTTTTTACTAATAAGGCCTCCATAGATTTTACATTATTTGTCTCCCTGGTGTTTATTTTTATATCAATCTTTATTCTTTTTGTATGTTTTACATGTTCTTGTTTTTATTGCGTTAAATACATGTTTGTTTCTTGCAGTGAGCTGCGGACTGACCTAACAGTGACGTCCGTCTCCAGACCTTCACTTCCTGCTTCCACCGCCTTCTCAAATGACATCAGCGTGTTTTCTGGAGCGAGCTGCAAATACACACAATGACCATAAATAACAGAGCGTCAGTTCATTCACACGGTGGCGCAGCAACATGCAGCTGTGGTCAGTACGTGTAAACATTGTGCCAGTACAGTTTACAGTGTGCACAGCTGAAGCAGAGGCGTCGTCTCCGAGCTCCAAACAACTGGGACAAGAAGGATGTGAGCTGGTTCCTGTGTCCAAACACCCGTTCCCCACAGTGCACCAGAACATGTTGAGTGTCAGACTGGTTTGAATGGGTTTTTCTGTTTATATCTAAACTTAAAAACATTCTATATAACAGGAAACTGCTCCGGCAGGTCGTTTCGCTGGTATGAAAAGAGTCAGAGTGGCAAATTCTTTTTCCTTCAACATCTGCAGCAAACTGCTGTGGATTGTTTTATCAGTCTGTGGTTACCAGTGTCCTCTTCTACACTGTGGTGTGCTGGGGGGGCAGCTTATCCAAGAAGACACCTCCAGACTGGATAAACTGATCAGGCGGGCCGGCTCTGTGGTCGGCATGAAGCTGGACTCACTGGTGACGGTGGCAGAGAGGAGGACACTGGACAAACTGCTGGACATTTTGACAATGCCAGCCACCCCCTGCACACGTCATCAGCAACCAGAGGAGCCTGTTCAGTAGCCACTCACTGTCACTGTGCCAATAACTGTGCAATAATAATCTACTCATACATACCTGGACACTTCTCTTACTTATTTTTTTTCTTTCTTACTTATTTTTTTGTGCAATAACTTGATCCACCACTAAGTGCAATAATTTAATTTAATTTAACTGCTAATTTCTACTTAATGTCATTTATCCCCACTTATCGACCTGTATAACAACACAATGCCATATACTGTCCTATATATTGATTTATCTATATTTATGCTCAATACAGTTCTCTACACTTATCTTATTTGTGACGGCCCTAGGGATGGCATGACATATTTGATTTCATTTTCTGTGAATTTTATCTTATTTTATTTTTATTCTTATCTCTACTTTCTATATCTAGCAAAGAGTTTATTGTTTATATTGTTTATCTTGTACTGTGTTTTTTTATACCTCTTTATTTTTCTACAACTGTTTTGTAAGCTGCTGGAAATTCAATTTCCTTGCGGGGAGTCATCCCAAAAGGATCAATAAAGATAAGTCTAAGTCTAAATATCTGTTTATTAAACTGAATTAACAACTATTTTTTCCAAGCAAAAATGCGAAATATTCACCAGCTTCAGCTTCTGAAATATTAAAATTTGCTGCTTTTCTTGTCATATTTAACAGTAAATTAAAAATCTCTACCTTTTAGACTGTTGACCAATCAAGCTGAAGACATCAATGTGGGCTCTGTCACATTCATTCAATTTTTCCACAATTACTCCAGAACAGAGTTTAAATCTGCTACGTCCTCTTAACCATTATTATTATCTATTGCACTGGTTCCTTAAGGGACCCTTTTATATCATTTATTAAACTGAATAAGTGACATATTTTATGGATATTTAATATTATATTCAAAAACCCAAACAGTGAACTCAGTAATTGCAAGAACTTTGAGTAAAACAAGTGATCTGGATGAATTTTGAGCAGATTATTTCCAGTTTAGGAAACTTTTTATACCTTTCTCTGTCTGTATTATGTATTTTTATGATGTTAAACAATCATTGAGACTTAATCTGTTTCTTTTTATGACAAATTCTGTGTTTTCTTGTCCCTGACGATTGGTCATTGTGCTGTAAGTGAACCTCACAACCCACCACGAAGCTTCAGCGACCCAAGCTTGTTATTTTTAACCGCTGCTCACCATGGGTGCTCCTCTGTGGCCGATGAGGGCCGGTGCGGGCCCCAGGGTGCCGTCCTCTTTGATACAAGGAGAATACAAACCGAGGGGCACCAAGTAGAGGGCAGACAGGATGGTCAGGTACACCCCCATGATCAGCCCCCGCCTTACTGAAAACACAAACAACACTGACTCATAGTTACACTGCAAATTTACTTATTTACATCTTTTTATTAAAAAAAAATCAAGTGACATTATGGCTTTTATTTCAAGATATTATTGTTTTAAAGTACAAAGGCCATTATAAAACTGCCCCACTGCCGACGTCTTCGTCAGTATTGTTGAACATAGACGAACACAAAATCACATTTACTCATATTTGTTTGGTTTTTGTGTTGTTTCTTTCTCCTTTTTTGCTTTTTGTTCACTGTATAACGGGGAAACATTTTCATAAATAAAAATTAAAAAATAAAGATAATATTTGCTTTCAGAATTATCCTCAACAGGTTAAATGTTTTAAAAAGTGGAACAGGTTCATTATTTTTTCAATTCTTATGGGAATCATTTGGTATTTTGAGAAATGTGTTAAAAAGAAAGAAAAAATAGAGATTTTTACATGTTTTTTTGTACATTAAATTAGTGAATTTTAAAAGGTGCTGGTCGTGGATTTTGTTACCTTTGGACAGAGCCCCAGGCTAGCTGTTTCCCCCTGTTTCCAGTCTTTGTGCTAAGCTAAGCTAACTGCCCGCTGGCCCCAGCTTTTCTATTTAGCATCCAGATTTGAATACATTTTTATTCAAATCCACTGCGTGACACAAACCGTGCACCTCACCTCTGCTGTTCATGCGAAAGAAATGCAAAGCTATCGGCCAGGCCAGCGCCGTCACCAGCAACACTCCACCCACGTGTAAATAAGGCGCCGTGACCTGATCAGGACACAAAAACAAAACCAGGTGTGAGGCGCGGATCCGCACCAAGGACAGACCGACAGGAAGAAGAGGAGGAGGAGAGTCACCTGGAAGGAAAGTAGTAAAGTCGTCCATTCTTTACTCCACAGGTCGGATAAGACGGCGGTGGCTGCGATGGAGAACGTCAGACTCACCAGGATCCCGATCTGACAACAAGGAAACACGTCATCCACCTGATTAGTGTCAATTAGTGGTTTGAGATTGTTGCTTTGCCTTTGGGGAACAAAAGACTGAAAACCACTGGAACAGAGTACGCTGTGACATTTTGTGTAATGCCTTCAATCAGTCTTTGAACACAGCAATCTACATGTGGATAATCTGGTGTTCGTGGCAGAGCAATCTACCAAAAACAAAGCTGCTGTAATCTCTTAAAAACACAGAACTCAAGCTGTCTGTAACAGTCTGAACTGTAAATAAACACACTGATTCTGCAGTCTGTATAAAAACTGGATGCGGCAGAGAGCGGTTACCTTGTGACTCCAGTGTAAATAAAGCTTCTGGCCCTCTGACAACAAACACACAGCCAGCAGCTGCACAGAAGAACAACACACATTAAATCTAACACTGAAATACATAAAGACATACGACGTAAAACGATTATCGAACAAGATACTCAGCAATTTTTTGACAATAGGATCGTTTTTTTAAAATCCAATTGCAGATAAAACATTTTAAACAATAGATTAATTCATTCATTCATTTTAAATTGTGCTACTCTGTCTCTGATCTCAATCTGAGATAACGTTGAAAGGTTCTTGAAGCATTTAATTAAACATATACTTAAAGTATGCAGAAAAGTAAAAGTACTACAGTGTAAAAATACTCTGTTACAAGTAATCAAAATCTTGTACAGTATTAGGATCAAAGTGCACTTAAAAGTACCAAAATTAAACATGCAAAATAGCCTATTTCAGACTATATATTATAACTTCATCAATAATTATAATAGAATAATATGCGTTCATCACTTTAATGTTTTTACTGCAACTGTATATTGGTTCCAATATCGGTTATAGGTTTCCTTGATTACCAGTAATCCCGATCCCAGTATCGTGTTTCTTGTTCAGACATTTTGGGATTTTTGGGGCGTTCTTGCTCAGAGTTAAGATGAGGAAATCATGTCTGTGCACCGATTCTTGAGGCTATTATCTTAGCTTAGCATAAAGACTGGAAGCAGGGGGAAACAGATAGCCTGGTTCTGAATTAAGTTTAATAAAAATACACCTACAACACCTCTATAGCTCACTAATTAACACATTATATGTCGTTTATCTATCCTCACGATGGTCGTATGACTCCAGGATGTTGCTGCTCCTGTAATGTAATGCAACCCATCGCAACTGTTCCGTCAGAAAGTCGACTTTTATTCAGGTTTTATCGAGACTGTACTAAATTACATGTTTTAGTATTAAGGTCACTTAAGTTTGTAAATTAAGAGGACAAAACATTAGAAACATTTCTTAATATAACTCAGCTATCAAAACATCACTTGAATAAAACATTACCAAATCACACCTGGCTGCAACAAACTGACACTATTTGAAGAAGCAAACCTTGATATTAAGTCTTATATTAAGTCTTTAAATGTGAGGATTTGTATCAGAACGGTTCTGTAGTCCAATAGCCCCACCATGAGTACAGTGACGTAGGTGAAGAAGCCTGCAGCGATGACCAGCAGCACCACAGACCACGGAAACCAGAAGCCCAGATTCCCGAAGTTAAACCTGTGGACGCCACACAAGAGCCGAGTAGAAATACAGAGAAACACACATTGAAATTCAGATCACTCATGCATGATTCATACCTCAATAATAGCCTATTTTTATGCATGATCCATAAAGATACAGGAGGATAGAAAATGTATAAAAATAACCTATTGGTACTATTTCACAAATCGTGTTTTCAGAGGAGCTCGTGTCTAATTAAAGGAGTCAAGATTCCCCTGTAGTTCAAACCCTGGACCCCCACTAAGAGCTCCATATTTGCTAAGTTTTAAATCATCTCAATTTTGCCTTTCTACATGTCGATTATTCCTAAATTAACCAAAAAGCTCATCTAAGGTCAGAGAGTATTCTACCACAGAGAGACTGAACAGAGAGTGGGGTGAACAGGGGGTTAAAAGGAGGACCAGGGAGCTCATTATTTGCTCTGAGAACCAACAGCGGGTCATTACAGCTGTATTTATGCGTGCAGCACTTACATTATATAAACTGTAAGTATGACTCAACCCACCAGTCAAAGTCATTGTAGTCGTTCTTCGCTTGCCCCCAGAAGTAGAGAAACACCAGCGTTAGGCAGAAAGCCGCCACGAGCAGAGCAAAGCTGACACCTTCCAACTGTCGGCAGCGAGGGGGAAGACAAGAAACACAAGTTGCTTTAAAAACTGCCCTTTAATACGTTTACTGCCTTGTATCTGGGAGCTGAAGACTGATCTTTGCCCTCTGTAGAGAGAGAGGAATTCAAACAGTAAAGCTCTTTAGTGGCTGTGATTGTAAAACCGCTCTGGTCTCACTGTGGGTTCATTCCAGCTCACTGCGTGATGTGCATTAGTGGAGCAGATGGCAGTGATTCGTCTTTAAATACCAGAACAAAATGTATTCATCCAATTTTATGCTTCCATTTCTCAAACCAGCAGTTTTAGAGCCCGGTGCAATTACTGAGACGCTGTTTGACTAATGTTTGGAGCCATTTAAGGAATACATGCAACCACACAAACTTTTTACGGGAAAGGGTTTCCTCTAATCGGAAGTTTCTGGGTTCGATCCCCGGTTGCTCCTTGAGCAAGATGCTGAACCTCAAATTGCTCCTGATGATGTGCATCTGTGTTAAATGTAGCATGAAGTCTACTCTGAGACTAGTAAGGCGCTTTAAAGCAGATTGAGATAACAAGGAATGGAAAATGTAGATGTAAGACACCGACTGAGCTCTCTTTGTCTCACCGTGTTGCAGCAGCAGTCTCCCGGCTGAGCCCGGCTCTTCTCGTAGCGCCGCCACTTGCAGCCGTACAGACCGGACAGACACGACACCAAAGGCCGGTGCTCGTAGCGCCGAAGCACTCTGGCTCGAAGACCTCGCAGCCGGCCGAACTGCAGCTGGGACAACGTGGACGCCATTGGCTCACACACGCTCTGACGCACCTTTCATCCTGGTTCACACACACACACCTGAAACATAATACACAGAGTTTACAGAGACATTATGATGCTTTATGCTTTCTATTGGATTTCTGTGCAGACTTGAAACATAACCCACATAAAACAACATAACACATAAAACAACACTCTTGGATTTCTCAACAATAACCAGCCTCAGCAGGGAATCAGTTTGTGTTGGAGCTCTTGTGCAACTCAGTTATCTTAGAACTAAAGGACAGTTCAGCTGTAATCCCCCCTTGAATTATGGAAGTCTGTGTGGGTTGAAATTACACTTTAATTGCAATTAACTTACAAATATTTGTGCATACACATAGTATAACACTTTAATAAAGTATAAACAGACTGGTTATATATTCAAACGCATAATAACTGGTTTCTAGAATCTGTAAACTACTGGAGTTTGTATTTATTTATGCGGTAATTTCTTGTATTACCAGTATGTGTTTGCTACCTGACATGACTGATGTGAAATATTATAAACTTGTGATTTAAACAAGAAAGTCTAGTAGCAACAGTACCAGACATACATTATTAATGTGTAACAGGAGTTTTTGCAACCTGAGAAAAACAAAGCTACCAGCTGTGCTGCAATAAAAAGGTGCTCTTGGATAAAACCAGACTCTATTCAATAATCTTACAATTTAATGTTTCACAACATAATTGAATATTAACAATGCTGTTAAAAAAACAAGTTTAATCCAACTGGAATCGCAATTTAATCTGGTGTTCATGTGATGTATGAGAGCCGAATTAAAGCCTGTGTCCTAATAATTCATAAAAACTGTTAATCCTGTACAAACATCGATCCGCCTTTTCCAGCAAGCACAATAATTTAAAAAAGACGGATTTTTATAATTCAGCCTGGTGACACAGTCCACACAGAAGAAAGAAAGGCACCTATTGAGACCCGGTTAGAGCTCCAACATGAAGCTGATAATCACCTAAAACACATCGATGTGAAAAAGGCAGGTTGAGTATGGTCAGGTTCGGTTCGGTTATGTTACCTCCAAGTCACCCAACAGGTCGGTTCCTCCTCCAGATGAGCGGTGGATCAGAAGCCGCAGTGCGCAGTTCTTCCTCGGTTACCCGATGTGGAGCAGGTCGCCTCGGAGGATGAGGTTGTGTCAAGTTACCCGTTGTTACTTACACGGTACCGAAAGTAAAATGCTTTGCCTTTCAAAATACAACTTTTTTTTATTTTTTTATTGAGCATTTATACATTTCGGATCGCATAACATTAAATAAGTTTAATTGGAATGGCTATAAAAGCATTTTAGATAGTGTAGCTATCCTGTGTGCTTTATTATACTTGTGTGATTGAACCATGTCTGTCCGTTTCCACCTTAAAGAATTAAATTAAAATGTTATTTAAAAAGAAAGCTACATTTGTTGTTAATTAATGGTAACTAAACTTGTGTCCCAGAGTGCCAAATATACAAATATAAATATTAATATTCACACAATTTCTTTGGAAATGTAAAATTTAACCTAAATTCACTAAAAATACAACAAAAGTTGCTTTATTTTGAAAATCCTCATGGAAGTTAGTATATTGTAAATTCTGTGCTGCTTTACAGAAGTTCCTGTTGATGCCCCGGACCTCTGTATCCCCGACTGCCACCTGTTGCCACAGTGATGCAAACACACCGTTACATCAGGTGAGTTCACAGGTGAGGATGACACTTCTCTTTAACTTTATTATCAAAACCTTTAATGTTATTTTACATTTGCAGGCAAGAATTAAAAACACACACAGGTCGCAAAAACACACTGATGTTAATGAGCAGCAATATAAAGTCAAGCAATAAAACAATACCTGTGATAAAATATGAATAATAATAAAATAAATAAATATATACTAGAAATAAAGAGGCAGATCAAGCCAAAAATCACTTTTAGAGGTGAAATGAGATCAGTAAAGGAAGGAAAAACTGGTATATTTAGTCATAATTAACTAATAAGAATCATATTTTAAAGAAAAACAGTGACTTTTCATCCAGAATTTATTAATTTTAACCACATTTATAGAAAGAACAGAAAGAAAATACTTCCAGCTAACTCTGGCCAGCAGGCTATAAAGACATAAAAAAGAATTTCACATGTCGCAGCAAAACTCAATATTGACTGACGTTGCCATGGAAACGGCAAAATATATCGGAGGAAGCCAACACCGAGTGGG